TCTGTGGCTTCCACCATGCCGCTGTTGTACTTCTTTCTTTCTTTGTGAAACATGAATTAATTTGTAGAAGAATGACAGGGAAACTTTGAGATGTCTACACCAAGAGCTAAGCCATCGCTTACTCGCTGAGCCGGGAAAGGCTATACACGGTTGTTGCAAGACAGTTTTAAGGACAATCACCGTCATAGATTTCCCCTTCCATTGAACAGATGCCGTTTGGATAAACTGGGGCCAGGATGGCGTTTCTCAGCATTCACCACATAGTTGTAGGACCTTAAGACCAGACACCACATGTATAATTACAAGCAATAAAAAAATGATTATGGTTCTCTTACTGCTGTTCTGCAGAAAACAAAAGATGTCACCAATTGTTGTAGATATCTCTTCATGTGATCCTTAGTGCCGAGTCTCTTCCTCGTACAGCATTATAGCTCAACCTCATCTTGCAAATTGTTATTCTACAAAAAATTAGCACTGAAGACGTAAAAATGTTATGATACATGAATATACAAAGGAACAAATAACCTCAATACAAATTTCCCCCAAAAAGGGGTAAATAAAACCCGGGAAAAGGAAAACCATTCCAACCTTTTTAGAATGCTCCATTAGATATAAATTTCCTCCCCCACTCCTCACCTCCTACACAAACAAGCGACCAGAACACGTGGCGGTTGCAGAGTGAGGTGGTAGCTTGTATTCATTTTTCTTACTCAGTTGGCTCGACTTGGTGAATTAAGGTGGAGACATGCAACATGAACCACTGAGCAGCATCTAATATCTAAGTTGCCTCCAACTGTTTCAATCCAAAAGGCTCCCCTTGCTTTTCACTCCATTTAATGCTTCATATTATCGCTTGTACATAATCCCCTTCAGCAATTCCACTCATCAACTTCATCGTAATCCTTGGGTACTGGTAAATAGATTAAACTGCAATAGCAGGCATAAGAAAGAATCCATCAAAGTTTCATTCAATATTTCAAATTCTAAAATGTACCAAATCAATTAGTATTGGCTTGTTACATGCTTATATGTATATTCCAAGCCTAATTTCTCTACAAAAAGTTCTAAAAATTAAACCCTTAATCATTCCAAAGTAATCAATCCTCAATAAGAAGCTCTCGAAATACAAATAATCAACCATAAAATCAATCCCTAGAGTTTTATACCCTTCAAAACTCAGTTAGAGAAGAGAGCAAGAAGTGTATATGATTTGTAACTATTTAGGAATTAGTTTAAGGAGGTTCATCTTTCGAATAGGTAAAACTGGAATTATTCACAGACAATAACCTATTCAAGCCGAGCCTACTAGAGCCAGGCCACAGTTTGCTGGGATTCAGCTCATTTACAAAACGAACTTAGACATCAAATCAAATTCAGTTCATTTTGCAGTTACAACAAGCCTGAACGAACCAAAACCGAGCTGAGCTCGAGCTAATCTGATTGTTCAACAACCCAATCCATCAATGTGTATTAGGAGCCTAACAACCTTTAAAGAAATGGCACATACAAACTTTTGTAAGATAGTCCACCAGAAACCCGAAGACCAAGAATCAATTTGGATGATCATGGCCCTCATATGAACTTACTTTGTGAAAACTAGACAACAAATGACTTCCCAAAAGAATGTTGTTAAGCATATTTTTTCTCCCAAATAAGTTCTAATCAGTTATCCGTATGGTAGCGCTGGAGTGTTTTGGAAACAAACCTCTGATGACACACATTTTTGTTCTCCAATCCTCTTAGAGATCATAACAGGTATACAAATGATACACAAACTAACTTCTTAAAATAGAAGGCATGTCTTGCAGGCAACTGTTAGAGCACATCTAACTCAACCAATTGACAATGAGTGGAGTAGCCCCTTAAGTATATAAACCAACATTGGATGGCTCTAATCACTTCAATGTCAAATACAACCTCTCTTTACACCCTTCCTTACGTGGGACCTGGACTTGTACGTGGGACAAACTGACAAATTTGTATACGGAGACATTTAAATGGGTAACAGACTTGGTCCACTGATAGCTCATCAGTGCCATGGCAAACAGCATTCAAGACCAAATAAGGCAGTAGATACATTGCAGTTTGCATATCATGACGTACTATACCTCGACAAGCATTGAAAATACTAGCTCGAGAACGAGTAGCGTACACAATCAGCTTTTTGATCCAGAAGAATATCCATCTTCGAAACGACATAGAAGGTCGATAGATAGGACCAGCAGATGCAAATTCTGCTACATTTGGAAGTTGAAATCTTGAGGTTAAGCAAGGGGCAATTATCTCTTTGACATAATTAGAAAAACGGTCACACAATCTCTGACCCCTTCCATTCATTTCACTGCAGTCATCTGCGCTCTTGGCCCCAGATGATGAGGCTTTCAAATATTTTCTATCCTTCAGCATCTGTGATGTAGAAGCCGCAACATTATCATCAAGTGATGCCTCACAACCAGCGATCTTTAGCAGCTCCTGTATGGCCAATGCAGCTGAGTCTTGGATAATAGTGTCTGGTGCAGCTCTAAAAGCCCTTGCCAGATGCTTATGGATCAACTCACAAATCAAATCATCATCTGAACACGCAATTTTGAACCGCTGGCTAGGAACCCGTTTTACTTTGGCAGGATCAACTGCACCAAGTGCTCCGAGGCAATTAGCACAAACCAACTTTAGCCGCTGTCCAACAGAAGTTCTTGATTCTTCTGCACACCCTCTACGCAAGTACGTAATTAAAGAGCTCAAGACATCCATATCTAAATCTCCTTCCCCAGTGACCACAGCTGTGACATAGTCTCTTCTTAGCTTCAGCAGTTTGCTAAGCTCGCAAGCCACCGTATACCTAACATTCAGATTCTCATGGTTCAACCCCTCAACTACATCTCGCAGTTGATCCTTCAAAGTCATTAATCCACGTGCTTCCTGTATGACTTTGTTCACTTCTGTTAGGGCAGGAATGCTGGGCAAAGGAGGGAACTCGCGGATGTGCTCCTTTAAGATGAGCCTGTTCTCAGATACAAGCTCTTCTAAGATTTCCACAATTTTAGCCAATTGCAAACAAGCGCTCTCGTTCTCGTTCTCTCTCTCCTAGAAGGGTACAAGAGCAGCAAAAACTTGAGAAATCACATGTTTAGTGCTAGATGGTGACACCTTTGCCAATTGCTTAGTGCAAAGAAGAGTTCTGGTTCTGGTTCTGGTTCTGGTTCTGGGTCTCCAAGAAGGGTACAAGAGAAGCAAAAACTTGAGAAATCACATGTTTAGTGTTAGATGGTGACACCTTTGCCAATTGCTTAATGAAAATATGCAATACAGCAAACCCCTCACTCTGAAGTGCTTCCTTACCTATCGCATGCATGAGAAGCACCATAAGTTTTGGGACATAAGTCGGAAGGAGAGAACCCATCATATTGATCAGCATCTCTATGCATTTCATAGCATGTTTCTGCAGCGATGTATTATATGGAGCATTTTCCTATCAATGCTGTTAGGTAGACCAACAAAATGATTCCTCAAAAAGCCTGGAAGATCTTCAAGATAGCGGCAGTTAATTATATGAAATGTTCCACATTACAATCCATATTCAGAAGCCCAAGTCAATCAATTCTGTTTTCCACTGACCATAAGGAAAAAAAATAGTTCAATCAACTCGAGCGAAAAAAGAATTGATATTTGATGAGCTAAAAGCTTTCAAACAAATGACTAATTTGTCAGCAACTAAAAATTCGAAGAAAAAGGTAAACAACAAATAAGAACAAAAGCAAATAAGGGCACAAAAAAAACCAAGATCTTTGGAACCTCCGTGCTATGTCTTAAAGAAAACCAAGATCTAATGTGACAAAAAAAGCACTTGAGATGAAGATCTCGTGGGCGTTCGCTTGCTCCTCAAACTGTCATTCTTTTGTCGAACTTAAAACTGTAATAGCTTTTGGGCACTAGTAGCGGCAGAACTCCACCACAACCTCACCCCCTTCCATCCCCCACTTACCACGCAGAACTCAACCACAGCCTCACCACCTCCTCAATCTTTTTTTTTTTTTTTCGTGTTGATTTCACGCAATTTTCACCGGTGGGAACTGAGTTAAGAAGAAAACTTTCTAAGAAGCAGCGTGACAATACTTGCAATACATTTTAGAAAAAATTTCTTTCACACCCCTTATAGTCTAAATTTTTTTATAGCAATAGTTAAATCTAAATTCAATAATATCCCCTCCCAATAATAATATTTCATTGACACTCCTTACCAATTATTGTCTGCTTAGGCCGTTAACAGAGAGTATTGGTTTATAGAAATATATTTTAGTATTTTATGGAGTAAATTTTATACACACCCCCCTAAATAAGCTTAACTTAAACAACACTCTTTTTTGATAAATTTGTCAAAATTTGACACGACACGATTAATCGACACGAATTAAGCAGGTTTGTGTGAAATCTTAACGAGTTTGGATGGTAAATGGGTTAACCCGTTAGACACGTTTAATAAATGGATCGTATTCGGGTGAGATTTGTCAAACTATTTATTACATGTTTATTCGTTTAAATAAAATTAATATAATAATGAATTAATAATTATTTTTAAAAATTAGCCAAAAAAAAAAAGTAAAGAAATCAATACAAAAAAAAAAGTAAAATAATAGTTCAAAGATAAAGGAAGGGATATGAGAGCACTTCATGACAAAAGCAAACTAACTCTTTTTGTTTTTGTCCGACGTCGACAAATGAGGAGAGATTGGGAGGGCTGCATTGCCTATAAAAGGCGGTGGCTTCTTGCATTTTTTTTAGCTTTCAAATCTGATTTTTATGTGAAATTTGGCTTAAAAATTCTTTTTTTTTTAGGTAAATACAATTGACAATAAAAAAAGTGGTGTATTAAAATTTATTGATATAATTTTTTTTAAAATTAAACGAGTTAAATGAGTCGTGTCGTGTTACCCGTTTATTAAACGGGTCGTATTCGTGTTGAAATTTTTCACCCGTTTATTAAACATATCGTGTACGAGTTTATATATTTTTCACCCGTCATCCGTTTAACCCGACACATTTAACATCCCTACTTCTCGATTCTAAAATTTCACTACACTGCTTTTTAGTTCTATTATATTAACTTTCAGATTTAATATTTAATTTTTTCAAATTAATACCCTTTCTTTAATTTAAACTAAATTAACATTCGATCTCATCAAATCAAAATAAAATTAATATTTAATTTAATCAAATTAATATTATTTATTTAATTTAACACTAAAGTATTGTTTAATTCATCAAATTAACACTAAATTAACATTCAATTTTATCAATGTAAAATTTAATTATATTAAATAGAATATTAAATTTCATTAATTTAACATTTAACATCATCAAATTAATGTCATTTCTTTAATTTAATATCAAATTAACATTCAATTTTTAACATTCAAATTTATTCAATTAATATTAAAAATGATATTTTATTAAATAATATTTAAATTTGATATGTGAAGAATTATCAGGTGTTGTGAAAAATAAATGATAGCAAATGAGTTGAAAATGGGTGGAACTTAGATATTGACTTTATCAATTGTATTTTTTTTATTGTAATCAAATAAGTGATAATATGATGACTAATATTTATACTTGATAATACCTCAAACAAGCCCTAGCTATGAGTTCAGGAAATGAGGTTAGGTCAGGAAAGACTCGGAGAGCTCATAAAACTAGGGTTAGAGCATCCATTGGGGAGATCGTTGCAGAACCGACCTGAAAACAGTTGGATGACTGAGGAAATGAAGCCCAATGCATGAAAAACTTTCAACCAACCAAGATTCTCTTCTAAAATCAAGGAGGATCCCATGAATAATTGGCAAAGATCTCAGCTGAATCCCACAGAATAGGGAGCAACCTTATAAATACTATGTACCACCTCATCGAAGAAGTGGACCCGAGAAAAAAACCCTAATTAGATCATGCATTATAGAATAATACATTCGAGTAATCAATAGAGAAAAGAGGAGCAAAAACCTCCATTAGAGAGTGGATTAGCCGAGCTCCAGAGCCGGTGAACTACTATATTCTTACTGTGCGAATTCCCCTACCCTCTAAGAAATACTTCATCTCTGTCATTATGAAGTTGGCAGCCTAGATTCACCTTTGGTCCCACGCACTCTGTTCACCCACATTAGTTTGCACCATCAGTTTGGCGCCGTCTGTGAGAATGATTGTTCCTATTACAAATAAGCTTATCTCTCAGTGACTAATGGTATTAACACGAAACATGAGCAGAAGCCAAACAAACCCACCTCGGATGCAGGATCAACAGGGAGCCACCAATGGCAGACAGCCCGAGAACGTCCCAAAAATTGATCTTTCCATGGGGAATCTCCCCATGAATAATGAGATGGAGGCCCTTCGCCTCGTCAATCAACGTTTGATAAAGCAAAAAAAAGAGCTCTTGAAGCTCTTACAGCGCCCATAGGAGGCACGTCCGGCCCAAGAAGGTCAGGTTAGTCCTCGTCACAAGGATCAATAACACCCTGATCCACTCAGAGAAGACAACGAAGGAGGGGAGAACAGCCAGACCTTGGAGCAGGATCCCTAACTACCCTCTAGGAATGACCACAATAAAAAAGTACAAAATCAAAATCATGAAGGTGAAAAGAATGATGTCCTCCCTTTCAAGAGGAGAGAAGGGAACAATATTGGGAACAACGCTTCAAGGGCATCCAACTGGAGCTCAGCCACATGAAGGAAGCGGTCAAAAGTAAAGCTCCAGTTACAATGGACGCCTTGGTGCAACAGACTGAATCTCCATTCACACCTGAGGTGTTACATTTTTCCCTCTCACCGAAGTTCAAGATGCCACAGATAGAGTCCTTTGATGGAACCAGGGACTCCATGGACCACCTCAATACTTATAAGAACCAAATGGAGTTGCACGGGTACCAGGACCCCGTATGCTGTTGAGCCTTTGCCATCACTTTGAAGGGTTCAGCCTTGGCGTGGTTTAACAGGCTCCCCCGGGCCTCAATCTCTTCCTTCAAAGAACTTTCCATTTCTTTCGTATCCCACTTCATAGGGGTTCAGACCTATAGAAAGCCGAGCTATCACCTTTGAATGTGAAATAGGGACCTCAAGAAAACCTCAGGTCTTATGTCCAAAGATTTAATTTAGAGTCGTTAAAGGTGGATGTCCCAGACGAAAAGTTCGTCATCATTGCCTTCATAGCTGGCCTAGGGGTGCAATCTAAAGATTTGATGGTCTCCATATTGAAAAATCCTCAAGCAAGTATGGTCGAGGTGCTTGCCAAAGCAGAGAAATATATAAACGGCGAATAAGCTCTTCTTTCCAAGGTAGGGAGCTCTTCCGCACATAGAGAAAAGGGAAAGGAAGAGAAAAAGAGGAACCGAAGCCCTAGGAGAGAAAGGGAAAGAAATAGATCTCCAAAGAGAGATAGATCTCCCAGAAGAGATAAAGAACGATCCCCAAAAAGAAGGGGGAACGTTAGGGACCGATTAGGACCCCCGCAACTTGAACTACAGTCGAGGTATGCACCTCAGCAATATACCCCTCTCACTACAACAGTCTCCTAGATCCTATACGAGGTGCAGAATGAGAAATTTCTAAGGTGGCCTCCACAAATGAAGGTAGATCTAGCTAAAAGAGACCCTACGAAGTATTACGAGTATTATAAGGATCATGGGCATCACACCGACGATTGCATTCAGCTAAAGAAGGAGATCGAGTTCTTGATCTAGAGAGGGGCAGTTACGATAATTTGTCACCCATGACAACCAGAACAGAGCTCCACCACCACCGACACCTCAGCAACAACCCCCAACACAACACCAGCAACCCTTAGGGGAGATCAGAGTGATATCTGGAGAATTTGTTGGCGGTGGAGAATCCAGTGCACCCGGAAAGCACACTTGTGTAGGATCAGAGCTGGCGAAGCGCTGAAAGTGCACACCGTGTCCAAAATACCTCGGTTGAGCACAACCATCACTTTTTCGGATTCAGACTTGGAAGGCTGTTAGCATCCTCATGATGACCCGTTGGTGGTTAGGGTCATTGTAGCTAACGAAACGGTTCATCGAGTTCTAATCGACAATGGGAGCTCGGTCGATATCATTTTCACCTCTACCTTTGACAAAATTGGCATAAGAAGGGAAAAGCTTGAGCCAGTAAGTGTTCACCTAATGGGATTCGCAGGGGAAAGGGTGCAGCTCTTGGGATCCATCCAACTCGCACTCACTATAGGAGACCCTCCTTACCAAGCCACCACCACTGTGAAATTCCTGGTGGTTGGCGCCCCTTCGGCTTACAATATGCTACTTGGGAGACCATCCCTCAACGCAATGAAGGCTANAAGAAGAGAAAAGAGGAACCGAAGCCCTAGGAGAGAAAGGGAAAGAAATAGATCTCCAAAGAGAGATAGATCTCCTA